AGTCCTAAGCCCTTCTCCGGCGACAGGAAGAAGGATGACGGCTTGGAAACCTGGGTAAGGACGGTGCCTACTTATGTGAGGCACAAACTTACCAGGCCAGAGCAAGAAGTTGTTGTGGCTGCCTCCTTTCTAGAGGGGTCAGCAGCCCGCTGGTTGAATGGCCTAGTGCAGCAACAGGGCTACGGTCAGGATTTCGATGCCTGGGCCCAGGCCCAGACATTGGAGCAGTTCGTACGGTCTGTCTACAACAGGTGGCATGACCCGCAAGGGGCTCAAAAGGCCACCGATGCTATCAACAGTCTTTGTGCCAGAAGGTACAAGAATGTTAGAGAGCTGACAGACACCGTAGAACGTCTGCTCGTGGTGCCTGGTGTGCGCTATGACCAGCACGAGGGTAGCCTCACCAACGGTCGTGGGACTTTCTTCGAACTCTGGCGGTGCTTCTGCGAGCACTACGCAGGGAAACACCTCGGGTAAGAGTTTTAGCCGCTCTTACTCACGCTGAAGTGGTAACGTTACCTTCCCCACTTCAGGCGTTGGCCAAGGCTAGTGACCCACGTATCGCCCTGCAGACACATTCAAACCCACCGACGCTCTGTTCGAGAGATGTGTCTGAGGCCCTATAAGAGTCAGAGACTGAGTGGTCAGGGAAGGACCCCAGGGACTCTTGGGCGATGATTAGTAGAGGTCCAAAGGGTGAACACTTCGTGGTAGAGGTTGATGTAGGTGACCGTAAAGTGGGCGCCTTCGCAGACATAGGCTCTATGCGAAATTTCATCAGTCGTGCTTGTGTGGATAGACTGCGCTTAGGGGACCAAGTGCGGCGGCTTAGCAAAACTGTAGCTTCTACGCTGGCCAACAAGCACCAAATGTTGGTAAAAGACTATGTCAAGGACGTAGTCTGCACCTTTTCCTATGGAGGAGGGGAAGTGAGCCATAAAATCTCCTTCCTGGTTAGCGACGAACTGCCCTTTGATATGCTCCTAGGTATGTACTACCTCGAGGTCGCGCAACGGCAGTTTGATTGGGATAGAAAGGTGTTGATTCACAAATTGCCCAACGATAGATCTGTTAGATTGCAGAAGTTTAAAGCTAGCAGTCTGATAGAAAACTACGGGTGCATGTGTGCATCATCTTTCTATAACTATTATAAGCACAATCGCGAGGAGGGCATGTACTTAGTCTTTGTCTCTGAGAAAGGGAAGGCCTTTAAAACACCCCCAGAGATAGAATCAGTCGTCGCACAATATTCAGACCTTTTTGAGGAGCCCACAGGCGTGGTGGAAAGAGAGGTTGTCCATGCAATAGAGGTTGTCCCAGGTAGCAAGGTGACTAGAGGACGAATCTATAGGATGTCTCCTGCGGAGTTAGATCAGCTTCGCCGCCAGCTCAAGGAGCTCACAGAGAAGGGATGGATTCGGCCTAGTACTTCCCCTTACGGCGCTCCAGTCCTATTCGTACCGAAGAAGGGAGGTACCTTGAGGATGTGAATTGACTATAGGGGCCTCAATGCCATCACCGTTAAGAACGCAAAGCCCCTACCCCGCATGGACGACCTCTTGGATAGAGTGCAGGCATGCGGGTACTTCACCAAGATAGATCTGAAGTCCGAATACCATCAAATTGCTATTAGGCCCGAGGATCAACACAAAACCGCATTTCAAACCAGGTACGGTCTGTACGAGTTTGTGGTGATGCCCTTTGGACTATGCAATGCACCTGGTACGTTCCAGCACGCGATGAACAAGATTTTTCATGACTACTTAGACAAGTTTATCGTCGTGTACCTCGACGATATTCTCATCTTTAGTAGAACTGTAGAGGAGCACGCTGAGCACTTGAAAACAGTGCTAGGTCTCCT